TTGGTTTTTATGTTGGTGCTTTTGTAATAATTTTCAGTGTTTTGCTTACATGGATATATTTTGCCCAATTTGCACCATTTACACAAATAGAATGATGGATAACAGATTAAATTAACTGTTGCCAAATGCAAAGAGTGCAAGTTCTTTAGCTAGACCCTCTGAGTATGGCAGTGCAACTTTTGAGTAATTATTTCAGATTTGATAATTGAGGTTGTGTTAAGGAAATGAACAAATATTCAAGTGCTAAACACTGGAACTTGCAATCTTTACCTTCCTTTATTTTTATCTCCCACCCATCAAAATTAATAAAACACTATTTGCTAGCTTTGTTGTTTGAGTTTAAAATGTTAATTTTAAAAATAAATCATTTTGTACAAGCTCTCGGAAGTCCAAATTATGTGACCTAGTTGACTGTGTAGGAGAATATTAAGATTAATTTTAACATTGTCCTCAAAATGGAGATAGTAGAAAGAATATTGGTGAAGGGTCAAATTTAATTGAAATGAAGCCTTCCACAAACTATGAATTACCTGTGGGGTTAGAAAGTAAACTACCAACACTACATAGAGATAGTAAGAACTGCAGATGCTGGAGCCAGAGATAAGTGTGGAGCTGGAGGAACACAGCAGGCCAGGCAGCATCAGAGGAGCAGGAAAGTTGACGTTTCAGATCAGGACCCTTCTTCAGAAATGGGGAGGGGGAAGGGAGCTGGGAAATAAATAGAGAGGAGGGGTGTGGCTGGGGAAGGTGGGTGCGATGGTGATAGGTGATGCAGATAGTGAGTGGTGGGGATTGGTCAGTGAGGTGGGGGGGCGGAAAGATGGGAGAGAAGATGCACAAGTTGTCAGGTCGAGGAGGCGGGGATGAGAGGGAGGGTTGGTCATGGGATGAGGCCGGGTTGGGGAGATTTTGAAACTGGTAAAATCCACATTTAGGCCATCGGGCTGTAGGCTCCCAAGGCAGAATGAGGTGCTGCTCTTCCAATTTGCGGGTGGCGTCATTGTGACACTACAGGAGGCCCAGGATAGACATGTCACCCAGGGAGTGGGAGCGGGAGTTAAAAATGGTTTGTGACCAGAAGGTGGTGGTGTTTGTCGCATACAAAGCGCAGATACCCTACAAAATGGTCTCCAAGTCTACACTTGGTCTCACCAATGTAGAGGAGGCCACATTGAGAGCAGCAGATCAAGTTGACGGATGTGCAGGTGAACCCCTGTCTGATTATAGAAGGTTTGTTTTGGGCCTTGAAGGGAGGTGAGAGGGGAGGTGTAGGGGCAGTTGTAGCACTTCCTACGGTTGCAGGAAAAGGTGGTGGGGTCAGTGGGGAATGTGGTGCGAACGAGAGAGTCACAGAGAAAGCGGTCCCTATGAAGGGCACGTAGGGGTGGGGAGGGAAATATCTCTTTGGTTGTGGGGTTGGATTGTAGGTGCACTTGAGAATCCGTAGAGAGAACTTTTTTTTTGGAGGCTCTGAATGTTGTGTATGTAGAGGTTGTCGTGGTTAGGGCCAAATTGGGATGGTCTGAATGTTGTTTGGAGACCGTTGGGGATGATCCTGTTCCGTAGGCAGGTACTGAGAAAGTAGATGTGGCTGTAGTATCGGGTTTGCTTCAGTATGTGGTCAAAGAGTTTCAGGGCGGAGGAGATTACCAGAGGGTTCAAATGGGAGATTCTCTACGGATCCTCAAGTAATTGGCACTAACTGCGACAACCTCTACCTACGCAACATCCAGAGTCTCCAAACAAAACTATTTTCTCTACGGATCCTCGAGTAGCCTTTCGTAGGGACCACTTACTCTCCCCCCTCCCCATTTCTGAAGAAGGGTCCTGACCCGAAACGCCAACTTTCCTGCTCCTCTGATGCTGCTTGGCCTGCTGTGTTCCCCTAGTTCCACACTTCATTATCTCTGACTCCAGCATCTGCAGCTCTTGCTATCTCTGTCACTCATTAAAAGTGTCCGGTTTTTATCCATTCAATAAACTGGCTATGTAATAGTATTAACTGGTCAACTGTCAGTGAAATCTCTAACTTAAATTGCTAGTTTATTTCAATCCTACATTTACCAGTAAATGGTTGATGCTGAACTGTAGCAATAAATAATCTTTGTTTACTTACCACTGTTAGTGTTACTAAAATCCAATTTTAAGTTTTTAGTATGCAGTCATTTATTCAAGCCTTTGCTGTTTTCTTTGCTTTGGCTCAGCAGAAAGTACTTTGGTTTCTGTCAGTCAGGCGCAAATTTGAGCACCATTCCAGAGATCTGAAGACATCGATTTTAAAATGATTGACAAAAGAACTAAAAGCAACATAAGGAAAAGCTTTATAGCTAGGATTTGAGATGTACTAACTGATAAATTATTAAAACAGGTTAAAATATGGGAATTTGGTAAATATTTGACAGAAAAACACCCGCAAGGGAGGAGGATTAACTAATATTTGAAGAGGTGAATGAAGTGATGGGGGGAATGCCTGTGGATGTTATTTATACGGATTTCTAGAAGAGATTTGCTGAAGTCTGGTAATGTCCCTGATGAGAAACTATTAACTAAAGTTTAAGCACTTTTGGCAAATCATTGACCTGGTTAGGAAATTGGCTGAGTGGTAATGGGGAGATAAAGTAGGGATAATGAACACACATGTTGTCCCCCTCCAGAATCTATATCAAGGCCTCGGCTGTCCACTGTATTTATTAAAATGTTACACGAGAGCCACATATCCAACTTGGCTGATAATACATAAGTAAGCAGCATTACAGGTGTGTGTAGATAGAAATATAAAGTTAGAAGGGTGTATTGATGGTAGGATTATTTGGATAACAAATATGAAAAATAAGGATTTTGATGTAGACAAATGTGGTTATGAATAGAAATGAATATTTCTTACATGATGAAAGTCTGGAAGCAGAGGAGTTCCAAAGAAACTTGCGATACTTGTATGCATCATTTTAAAATATCGTAAATAGAACATAATCAGAAAGGATGGTAGTATGCTGGCCTTTTCTATAGGAGTAGAATTTATGTTACAGCTATGTAAAACCCTACTAGACCAGGCCCTGAGGAAACGTATATCAGCTAAGGAGGAAATGTCACATAGCTTTATTAGAATGATACCTGGAATCCAGGGGAGGGGAAAAAAAATAGACACTGGGGTTGTATTCCCTTGAATTTAGAAGTTTGATTCAATTGAAGTTATTCAAGAGACTTTTTTTTTTAAAAAGAAAAATTATACTTCTGTCGATTTGGGAGTCAATGGTGAGGGGACACGGCTATAAAAATTAAAGCTGAACTTTTCTGGAGTGGAGTTCGGAAATACCCATGTGAGAAAGCATGATAGACATTTGGAACACAGTTCCACAAATGGCGATTTGGTGCTGGGTGAATTGTTAATTTAAAATTTGAGATTATTGCATCTTTTAAGGGAAAAATATCTGCATTTATATAGCGCCCCGTTCATGATGACAGGACATCCCAAACCACTTTACAGTCAGTGAAATTCTTTCAAAGTGTAGTTCCTAGTACACTGTAGGAAATGCAGCCACCATGTTTATACCCACAAACCAATGTGATGATGAGTAAATAATCAGTTTTGATTTTGATTGTGCGATAAATTGTTTCCAAGAGATGGGAAATAAAATAACTGTTCTTTTTAGAAATAATGCCTTGGGATCTTCTGTATCCTCTTAAGAAGAGGGCAGATGGGGCCATAGTTTTAACACCTGATCTAAAGCAGGATACATGTAACACTGTAACTCACCTGGTGCTACAGCCTAGTGCTTTTGGAATAAGACCTGATCCACAGCCTTCTGCCTGAAATGAATGTGTTACTGACTGAGCCACACTGGGCATTAAACCAAAAAAACCTATTGGGCAATGTAGCTGTATGGAGTTAGGCCAGGATGATCTCATTGTATAGTGGAACTGGACTGGGGAGCTAACAGGTCTTCTCTTGTTTCTGTAGTTGCTCTTCAAAAGAGCTAACACAGATTGTGTGGTGCAAATGGAGTCGTCCTCTGTACCATTTTATGATGATAGAGGTTGACACTGCAGAGCAGTATTATGGGATGTTGTACTATCATGTTCTGGATTGTGACTTGTCCCTTCAGCCTATTGGCAGAGGTGAAAGTGTTGCTGCAGAACTTGAGTGATGAAGTATTATAGGACAGTATGCCCATTTGTCTCTATCCTCACCCAAACTGTAAATGATGTGAGTATTTGCCAAGAATCTGGAAAATCTCCAGATGTTGGCACATTATCAGTTAGTATGACACTTCCATTCAATACCAAAGGATTGCTGTGTTGTGGGGAGTTGTTTTTGGATTGAGATATTAATGCAATGGCCCCTTAATTCTATTGAGTGGATATGGAAGTTCCCATGGTGCTGAAGGAAGAAGAGCAGGGGAATTCTTCAGGTATCTTGACTAATATTTGGCCTTTATCCAAGACCTAAAACAGATGATCTGGTCATTTTTATTTCTCACATTCGTGAGACCTTGCTGTGTGAAAATTGACCGCTGTTTTTCCTATGCCAATGATTTCAAATGTGCTTTGTTGCTAGTGAAGCACTTTAGAGTGTCCTGTGTGTGTGAAAATGACTTCATAAATGCCCTGTTCTGAGGAAGGGTCACCGGACCTGAAACGTTAACTCTGTTTTTTCCTTCACAGATGCTGCCAGACCTGCTGAGCTTTTCCAGCAACTTTGTTTTTGTTCATAAGTCTGTTCATTACCGTACTTCTCAGTAATTTCGACAACATCACAAGCAGAAGTCTAACCCAACCATACTGCCTAATAGCCTTCACTCAGCCAAACGTATGATGGGTTCTGTGTTGCTGCATTAAGATGTGAAATTTCAAGTGTAACGTCATGCTATTTAGTGACAATTGTAGCTTTGTTCAGTGTATAAAATCAAGCCCTGCCTCTTAGCAGTTTCTGTGTGTTGATACCCGTCATTGTCTTTACTTTCTCAAGTGAAGATCTAAATTCTGTCAATGCTGTCTTGCAGGCTCCTCAAATGGGCACATTTATAGGGGTCTACCTGCCATGTCTACAGAATATTCTGGGAGTTATCTTGTTCCTGCGCTTGACATGGATTGTAGGAGCAGCAGGAATCTTTGGATCCTTCTGGATTGTCTTCATATGCTGTGCTTGTGTAAGTTGAAAGCTGATGGGATCCAACTGCTCGCCTTCTCTAGGAAATTAGTGGCTTTTGAGAAAGAGAGTGCAAAGCAGCGGTTACCTTTTGTAAATTGGATATTACGGCATGTCTAACACCTCCACTATCAAGTCCTCTGTTCAGAGTGCTTTAAAAATAATGCAGGGAATATTTGTCGCTGAAAGGAAATTTTCTGAATAAACTTCTCCATTCTATAAAATGTTTTCGGTGAATGCACCAGGGGCCACCTGTCCCATTGGAATAGAACAAAACAATAATCGATGCTTGCCTCTGAATTTTGATCTGTGTTCAGACTAGTGAAAAATATGCTACAGATCTGCGCTCAAATTCATTTTAATTAGCAATGGCAAACTGTAAAATTTGGATTTTACTGTTCTGCAATTTCATGTTAACTTTTTTTTTTGTCCCACAGTTACTAATTTTGATGGTATGACTTGTTATTATATAAATTACATGAGATTTAATGAGACTAGACAAGATTTAGGGTGTGAACCATAAAAACCCTGTATTGCTAGAGTATTAGTAAGTACCGAGTGTCATTTATAATGCAAATTGTTTCTGGTCCTGGATCCAACCATCCATTTGATAATGGTTTGCTAATAGTGTTCATTAATGTGTTCTTTGAGTCTAACATTTCAGTTCAGTTCTCAACTGGATACCAGATAGCTTGCTGCTTTGAATTAGTCGCCATAAGATAAACTCAGATCTCAGTCACTGGTTTGCTGGCACGTACTATAGCATCCAAAGCCAGTCATGTGCTGTTGTCCTGTTCATGCTCCATTCTTAGCATAGCACTCAACACGTTGAAAGCCCATGTAACTATTTGAGTAGTGTAACTAATCACCTTGGAGAGGAATAATTCCATAGTACTGTTGACTTCAGTGCTATTTTAATATGCTCAGTAACTGAAATTAGCCCAACAATGCCCCCTCTCACTTCCTGTAAGTAATGATCCAACAATGCAGTCAGTACTGACTTTTCAGTTTGGTCCAGTCTGGTTTTTGAAACAGATTTAGGGTCAAACTTTGGACTGCTCTCTGTGGGGAAGGAATTGTGATTGCTAAATCCAGTCAAGGGTGGCAAGTGCATGAGAACACCATCAATTTCCAAGTCCCTTTTCAAGTCACTCATTAGCTGGACTGACACCAATGCTGTTCCTTCGTAGTCATTTGTTCAAAATCCTGAAACTTCATGTTCGATGGTTTTGCAGGAATGTTTTCTCAGTCTGTTGCAGTTAAAGGAGTTTGGTCAGTATCACCCTTTCAACAGTATATGGGCAATAAATCTTGGCCTTTCCAGCAGTGGGCATATTGTAACAATAGATAAATATTAATTAACATTGCTGTATAAATAACCCATTTATTGGTAATTTCTTTCACTTGATTGTCTGTCTGCTGTGTATCTTTCTGTACTGAGGCAGTGCTAATTTTCATTGGACTTTTTTCCACAGACCTTGCTGACTGCAATATCGATGAGTGCTATTGCAACCAATGGTGTGGTGCCAGGTAATTGAAGTCTCCTTGTAAATTGCTGCATTCCATGGGAAGCATTTTATCTTGTCAGTGCATCTGCCATGGTATGGCTTGTTGATATTAATTGCATCTTAAATACAAACCCATTTAACCTCTCTCTTTTCATCAGGTTCCATCCACACCCTTTTTTTTTCTAGCACTTAACCTCTAGCAAATTCTTTGGTTTAACTTTTAAACTGGTTCATCGTTTCATTGAAAACACCAGAGGACTGCAGCATCAAAATTATCATACAGCCAATTCCCTCCTAACCCCTCATTGCCACCAATCTTTAAGGTGCACAATGGAGCTATAGAATGTTTTTTTTCTCTCCTGACCACATGTAACAAGATTGACAGTTTTTTATATTAGAAAATCACCAAATATTACAGCGCAGAAGGAAGCCACTCATGTTATCATGCCTGTTATATTTCTTTGGAAGTGTTCTCTATCGAGTCTCATTCTCTGGTTCTTTCCCACTTCTATCAAATCTCTCCCAATTCAATACATACCTGATACCATTTTCCTCTTTAACCAGAAGTAGTTCTGGTATCTGGGAGACCTGTCCCATTTTTGTTTTAGTCAAGATCTGGTCCTTGTTTTAGTAATTGCGCATCAAATTATTCCATCCCTTGCTGACCATGGTACAATTCCAGGATCTTTGCCTCTGAATTAGAATTAGCTTTATTGTCATGTGTACTGAAATGAGTACAGTGAAAAGTTTACAAGTTGCCACTTGTGGCGCCATCTTAGGTACCAAGATAGCTACGTCCAGTTTCTTAAGTACAGATTTGTAGGGGAAAATAAGGAAATGTAGTAAAATACAGAGGTAAAGAGTTCAGAATAAGAAGAGTCCTTCCAACCCAGACCCTGCTGGGCTTCCCCTTGAGGCCGCGAGTGTTGGGAGTCTGAGTCCGCGCTGGTGCAGTGAGTCTGGGTCCATGCTGAGGCCTGGAGTTCATGTTGGCTTTGTCCCTGGACATCACCAGTGCCACCAGAGGATGGGAAATAAAAAGAAAGTGAAAAGAGAGGAAAAAAGAAAAGAAATGGGGCGGAGTGGAAGGGCTCCGCCTCAGGAGCCCTACTCTGCCGCCATCTTGTTGGAAGGTTGTGCGTTCTTTCCACTCGAGTTAAAGGCGCAGTCTTACGTGACCCCGTAATGCAGTACTGATGGACTGCTCCACTGCTGCAGCTGCTATCATTTGGATCAGGTGTTAACTTTGGCTTTACCTACACCCTCAAAATCCCATGGTGCTACTTTGAAGGAAAGATGGGAATTTTGCTTTGATGTCCTGGCCAAATTTATCCCTGAAACAACATTACTAAAACAGATCAACCAGTCATGATATCGCTGCTTGGCTGCTGCATTTCCTACGTTAAAACCATGTTTGTGCAACAAATATAATTCACTGGCTGTAAAGTGAAATGTTCAGAGGGTTCGATAGATGATGTCTAAATGTAAATTAGTTATATCCTTCTTTGATGTCCTTACCACAACGATAGCTCTGGGCAGCTAATCGCCACAAACTGAACTTGGGATAGCAATCAAATCAAACCACCTCAACTTGGGTTTTTACTTGAGGATTCAAAATAGCCTAGGCAGTAATTTTGGTCATATCCAGAGATGAACAACCAACACAAAAATACGAGTTTTTCCTTGTTTTCTGTGTAGTGTATATCGCCTCTTTTGGTATCAGCGCTTTATACCAAGTAAATTTGTTTTTTGTGCAGTTTACTATTAACATAGAGGGCACAGTGGGCTCCCACAAATAACAATGAAGTAAATTGAGCCATGGCTCTCATTCTGTGAGAATTTTCTTCGATCTACTTCCATCACTTTGCACTATGTGCAGCACAAACTCTGTTTACAAGCATATATACAGGTTATGATACTTGTGGCGTAGAAGTGGCAGTGTAGTTTAGCAGATCTGAGGAAATTCTTATCCAAAATCCAGTATTAATAGTCAGCAGAAAACTTTTTAACATTGTTAATCTGGTCTTGAATGTCTTGTGCTAAAGTGTTTTGTTTTCACTCTGATCCATTTTACTTCTGATTAAAATTGTTCTTTCCTCCTTTGACCATTGTCACATAGTTATGTCCCTTTGTTTCACAGCTGGAGGCTCCTATTACATGATTTCAAGGTCACTGGGCCCAGAGTTTGGAGGGGCTGTGGGTCTCTGCTTTTACCTGGGAACCACATTTGCTGGAGCTATGTACATCCTGGGAACTATTGAAATCCTGTTGGTGAGTTGCTGCACTGTTTAGGAATCGAGTTAAGCGCAAAATGTTTGTGCAATCCCAGTTTTTTTCAAAATTGCATGAAAGTTGGAAAAAATATCTGTTATTGGAAAGCCCCTAGATAGGGGATTAAAAAAAAAGTAGATCATAATTGTGGTTCTGTTATTCAATTAGATCATGCTTGACTTCTGCTTAAATGTGCTGGAGTATGTCTTCAACTCTCAGCTTTTTTGAATCGAAGTGAGAGTGCGACAGCTCTCACTAAAACTATTCAATTCAGCTTCTAAGGACATCTTTTTCTTGTTGACTGAGTTCCTTGGGTAATGTCCATTCTCTGCTGCTTGATTTTTCTACATGTGCTGAAACAGGGATTCTCTGGGTAGCACTGAGGACCAGAATGCCCAACTACGTTTTGTCTTCTAGAGCTGATTAGTTAGCTGGAGCCTCCTGTCTTTGGTTTTGTTTTGCTGCAGGAGGTTTTTCTACATGTTCAAAACTTTAAACCTTTTGATTTCAGGTTCTTTTAAAACTTCCAAGTGTAATTCTATCACAATTAACATAGAGGCATGAAATTATTATTTTAATGAAAGATGTGTTCCTCTGTAAATAAAGATAAAACGAAATTACATTTTCTATAATTGCACAGCTCAAAGTCACACAAGCATTTGTGCTAATTACAAGGTTATTCATTGTGGAGAATGGGGGAGGGGAAAACCACTCCTATTTTTCCTCCCATGATTAATGAGAAAATGCACGCTTGTTCCAATAATCTGCAAGCCAGTTTCCTGTCTTGTCCTTGCATCTTCTGTTGGCTAGAGTATATCCAAAAAATTCTATTCTCATGTTCCTAACTTACTGATTTCAATTCACCTATCATCCTTATGCTGACTAATCTGCATTGGTAATACTCCAGCTTTAAAGTTTGTTTCAGAATCTTTCTATGGCCTTGTCCATTCTATATCTGTAGTCTCTCTCCATTGACCCTGCTCTTCTGCAAGTTCCTGAATTTCTTTGATTGTCGCATTGGTGGCTGTCTAAGTTCTGGAAATCATTCCCTCAGGTTCTTTTTTTTTTTCTCTCCTCTTCCCCCACCTCTGTTTCCTCTCCTTTTTAGGATATTTGCAAAATCCTAGGTTGCTTTGATTTGCTCAATATTGTCCTTCCAGTATAATGCGCAAATCACGCCTGGCAAAGACAAAATTGGACTGGGCCGATACCTCCAACAACTGGATATCTAGGCGATACTTAGTAATAGTTTTTCATTTTTTTTAAAATGTGATTAGTACTAACGGAAATGTACCTGAATTTGAGGTTATGTTCATATTTGATGGCGTGTGAGAGGCAGATGTAGAAATTATAGAGAGGTTGAAGCCACTTTTTGTTTGTTAACCAAGTACTGTAAATCTGTAAATTCAACTGTAAGCTATAGAATGGTGAGACATTTGGGTTTAAATACGCATTTTATTTTTTCTTCTAGACCTACATTGTTCCAAGTGCAGCTATCTTCAAAGCAGAGGATCCCAGCCAAGAAACCCAGGCCATGCTGAATAACATGAGAGTTTACGGCACATGCACGATCACTCTGATGGCTACAGTGGTATTTGTTGGAGTCAAATACGTCAACAAACTGGCTCTGGTTTTCCTAGCCTGTGTTATCCTTTCCATCCTTGCCATCTATGCAGGGGTCATCAAAACTGCCTTCAGTCCACCTGATTTTCCGTAAGTACATCCAACCATCAACTGCCCTGAGTGCTCTTTGGAGAGAGCCCTGTTCCCTTTTTGGAATGAAAAATTAGTTGAGAATTTCGATCTTTGAGATAACACAAGATTGGAAATAAGATCTGGTCTATTTTTCTCTCTCATAAGAATAGTACTTTCAGCATCTTGAGCTTGTTTTGTCACTTTTAGATCAAGACTGATCTGCATCTTGACTCTCATTACCTAATGTGCTTTCATTATCATTTACCTTAGCTCTGTAACCCTAATACCCTAGCCTGACAAATATCAAGTTTCCAATTGGACCCATGTCAACAGATTTCTCGCAATGTGTTCCAATTTTCCATTGCCCCTTGTGTGACAGTGTGCCTTGTTTATTGCTCCTGAACAACCTAGCTTTAATTTTAGGGTATTGCCCCTTTGCTCTCAATGCTCACACAGGAGGAAAGGTTCTCTTTATCTACTCCATAAATTGCTTTAATCATTTTAAGACTTTTAATTTGACCATCCCTTAACCTTCTTTACAGAAATATAAGCCTGGTATATACAGTTTATCATATTTAATCTTTTATCCTTTTCAGTTTTCTCGCCTCCTCAAGATGCTGGTTGTTGCTGTGATACATGTTTGCAGGTACTGACGATTGTTCAATACCTTGCCCAATTTGCAGGCTTCCAGTGTCCACGGAATGGTTTCTCAGCATCTTCGCGAGAGGAGGCACAATTTGGGGAGCGTCACAGACACAGATGTCAACTAGTTAATACGTCTGTCCTTTTCTAAAATTACTTCAGTTGTGTTGGACTGGTCACTGTCCTCTCTTTCTCAAATCATGGCTTCACTGCTTATCCAACACCCCGCAAGCAATTCTCTTTTTCCAATCAAATACTAGGAAGACTGATAGCCTTGTGGTGATCTTCACTGCACACCTCAATCCCCTAGCTACTGACTCTGTCCCTGGCAAATACTTGAAACTGAACCGGATTTTTTTGCAATCTTTTTGACAAACCTAACCCAAAGGTGAACCTTCAGCTGTATACTTTTACCATCACAAAGAAAATCTGATATATTTTCTTGGTCTGGCCTTTGTGTGACTCCATACCCAAGCAACACAGTTGACTCTTAAGTGCCTTTTGAAATGATGTAACAAGCCACTCCGCTCTAGGACAGTGAGGCATGAACAACAAATATTGGCCTAATCAGTGCTGTCCACATCCCATGAAAGAATATTGAAGAAATAGTCGCTTTTACTGCGCCTGTGAAATGCCTTGGAAAATTCTTTTACACTAATGGCTGTATCTAAATACAAGTTGTTCTCAGTTTCATTAGAATATTATGAGTGTAAAATAATTTTGCTAATTAGGACCTTAGTTACTTACTTGGATGAACTACAATACTTCAAAGGTTAGGGCACTAAATCCTGGTTCTGTGTCCAAGATTCCCTTGACTTGTAAATTTTCTATGTATTTGGCCTTTGACTTGAGTCTCTTGTAACGTGTGCCATTAGCTGACGTTTTATTGGGAGATCGAAATGTGTTTCCCAGTGTTAAAGTGTAGATTTTGGGGGGAATTGGTAGCCTGTGTGTACGATGGCATCCATTTTTTTCCCTTGCAGATAGATTGCTATCGATTCCAGTGAATATCACTGGAGTAGTTTAATTTTTTCTCCACCCTTCCCTCCTTGGTTATCATAAATATGTTGAATCTGCTACAGTTTAAATATTAGATCTTGAAGCATTGAAAGTGTTTAAAGTTGGGGATACAAGGCAGCAAGGTGAATTGGAGTACCACATGAGTATATATACCACGAGTTCAATAATATTTTCATCTTGACATTTTTGAGGGAATTTTGACTTTGTGATGGTTGATTCAGCTACCCTCATGTTCATGTCTGTCCTGTTCTATTGACTTCAAAGAAAATTGACGGTTGGGAGATATTGTATAATAACAGATGAATCAATATGACCGCAAGTCACCATTAATACCATTAATTGTATTCTTCTGCCATTAATAGGACTATTATGTTGTTGATGTGGAAACAGAAAATTGCTTCCAAGGTTCTGACTATCCCATTCCTGTTACCAAATGACTCTTTGTTTACCCATGTTCTGGTCTTTGTCGTTTTATTCACGTTGCCATTTTATTACATTGCTATTTCCTCCACTCCCACAGCCTCTGTATGCTTGGAAACCGGACTTTAGCCTGGCAAGCCTTTGATGTATGTGCTAAGGTCAGCACTACAGGCAACCAGACCGTGACAACGCAACTCTGGCAACTCTTTTGTGATAGCCCCTACCTCAACGCCACATGTGATGAATACTTTACTCTCAACAATGTCACAACAGTTCAAGGGATACCTGGAATTGCAAGCCGAGTAATAATTGGTGAGTGTTTGGCAGTAAAAGTAGATTATTCAAGCAACCGTATGAGAAAGAGATTTTATTTGACAAGTTAACCTGTCACTGGAGTCTAAACTCACTCAACTGTCTACTCCACCTTAAAGAAAATGAAACTTTCTCCCTTCGTAACAATAATTGCACTGTCTCCTTTTCCTTAAAATGAATTGTTGGTTCAATCATAAAAGCAGAGGCAAAATACTGCAGATGCTGGAAAGAAGAAGCAAAAGCAATGTTGGAAAACTCTCAGCTGATCAGGCAGCATCTTTAGAGAGAAATGTAGAATTAATGTTTCCGGTCCAGAATCTTTCATCTGGGCCTATAATTAATTTTATTTTTCATTGCTGAAGCATATAGTAAGTGGTGTTGACTGCACTTTTGATAATAGTTTAAGCAGCGTTACCCTTGCTTATAGCTGCCCTATTACCTATTATTTTAAAGAGTTTCAATCGAACAATGATACCTCACAGCAAGAGACCATTTGACTTGTGATACTTATGTTGGCTCTTCAAAATGTTATCCAAATAGCCCTAGTCTGTGCCCATGACCAGAGCTGGTGATTTTTTTTTTTAATGTATCCCTGATGGTTTTCTATTTTCATTTTGTAACTAACGTTGTAAACCTGTCTGGGTCCACTAATAACCTGTATGTTTTTGATCATAGGATATTCTCCTCTTCCTTTAGTACTCAACCAATTTGTAATTTATGCTATCATAAATAAGATATCCCCTTTTCTTTCTCTTTTTGGTCTTCTAAGCTAGTACATAAAATGTTTTTGTACTGTCTTGAGACTGGGCAGAAGCGTCAGCAAGTTTTTTTTAAAAATTAATTTCTCCGATGTTGGTGATGCTAGCTAGGCTAATGTTTATTGCCCGTGCCCAGTTGTTCTTGAAGATGGTAGTGAGCTGCCTTCCTGAACCACTGCAGTCTATGTGCTCTAAGTCGACCCACAATGCCCTTAGTGAGATGCTTCAAGGATTTTGACCCTGCGACAGTGAAGAAACTGCGATTTCCAAATCTGGATGACAAGTGGCTTGGAGACAAACTTGCAGACGGCAGTGTTCCCATTTATCTGCTGTTTTTGTCCTTCTCGATGGTAGTTGTAATGGGCTTAGAAGGTGCTGCCTAAAGATCTTTGGTGAATTGCTGCAGTGCATCTTGTAGATGGCACACACTGTTGCTTCTGAGCGTCCCTGGTGGAGGGAATGGATGTTGACATATGTAAATCATGATTAAATACCATCAAGTATAGATTTTAAAATCCTAGTAGCTTAGCAGGATGGAAATTAATCTTTTCCTCAGTTTAAGGTAGAGGATGAAGAAAAGAATTGGAGCTTGTTCAGTGAATCTTAACTTCAACACAGTGAGGGCCTGCCTTGGTTTGGAGGTGGAAGGATGACAGTAGACTTGTTTGGAGGAGGAGTGCAAGACTGACTGGAAGTATTTGAAGGGATGGCATTGGATTCTATTAAGTTTGGAGGCCCAGATTTTGGAAGACGATGACAACTATACCAGTAATGAAGTGGGAATCTTCAGCTCAACTTCAAAAATATTAATAACGATGTTTCTAAGCTTGTAAATCCCACTTCAGTGATGCAAGACACGTTTCTCAGCCAGTGGGAAATAAAATACACTGATTCGGGGTTTTGGCTTTCAACCTCCCATCCCAGAATTGAACCTTTTCTGGAACAAAGCAGCCACAGCTTGAGCTTTAGTTTACATCACTTTTTTGGCCTTGCTCCTCAGTGGCTAATCCAGATACAGAAGCACTGCTCAAATTTGACAGACTTGACTCCTGGAAAAATTGAAGTCAAAATGCTGGAAGTAGGGTTGGGCAGCATCTATGGAGGAACGAGAAACTAAGTAAAAGGGCCGAATTCAGGGTGGGGGCGGCTTCAGGCAGGAAGCAGACTTTATTAGACAGGATAGTGACAGAGCAAAACTCTGCCACCTTCCTGCCTTTGCCACCAAGGTCCTTAAAAAATGGTCAGTTAATGATCAGCCTCAGCCAATTGAGTTGGGCTGAAATTATCCCAGCCTCAATTGGAACAGGAAGGAGTCAGCTTGCCCTAACAATTGCAGGGGCTTTTATGGCATAGTATTAGTGTTCCTACCCCTAAGCCAGGAAACCTGGGTTGAGGGCCCACCTGCTCCAGATGTGTGCAATAACATCTCTGAATAGGCTGACTAGAAAATATCTTCCCTTGCCAGCATGAGCAGGCTTTCATTGAGGGATGTAAAATGTGGGGCTGTCATTAATCTGCACTGAGGTGCACATGATTGAGGAATTGGTCCTGGGTACCCAAAACAACCTTTTAACTTTCATGTAGGTAATCCTTCCATCCATCCTGGGAGGTGTTGTTCTGGTAACATCCATCATCATCAACACGGCACTGCAGCATTGGGAGAAGCCAGCCTCTGATTTCCTGTGACTTCCTTGCCCTGGGTCATAATTCCAATTGAAAGCCAACCAGCTAGCAACCAATCAGCTGAATGACTGCCTGAAGATCTAGCAAGCTTCCCCATTATCGTAGAATATCTTCCACTGAATTCTGCTACTTGCAGACTTGGGGAAAGATGCTGCCCAGTGTTCCACATCTAATGAATCATCATCAGCAGCTTAAAAGTAAACGACCCTCTTACTTCACACACTGCTTGATTCGCTGACCATTTTCCAACAACGTCATTTGTTTTCAGTACTGATTTTTTTTTTTGTAACCGCTGTAGTTTGCTGCTAAAGAATGTGTTTTCAGACTGGATGAAGTGGAACCTCAAAATGGAAATCATGTCAATTCAAATGATCGCTGGTTTGATTTCCGTCAATGGGACTGTCAATATTGCAGCCTGTGGAGAAACAGCAAATAGCTTTTAGTAGCCTCTAGGTTTCAGTGTTTAGCTGTGTCTGTAAACACTGGAAGTTACTGTCAGTTTCATAAGTATCTCTCGCTGCTGTTGGAACTGTCTTACTGTCATGACAGCTGCATAATTAGAACCATTATTTTTCATTATTTTGAACTTGATTATTTCTTCACCAAAACCTGCATGATTCTTTGATAATTTTTATTTTTCTTCCTGTGTTCCTACCAGACAATATCTGGAGTTCTTATGGGTTACAGGGGGAGATCTTGGAAAAGAGAGGAATGCTATCTGTGCCTGCAACGGAGAGTGCAACAAACACGGGACTCCCTTACGTCTTCAGTGACATTGCAACCTACTTCACTATGCTGGTTGGCATCTACTTCCCATCCGTGACAGGTCAGACTTATGGCTGGGAAGGGACTATGTGATGTACAGTTACTGCCCTGTCCTCTGCATAATGTGTTGTCTCTCATTTGCATCGCTAAAATAAATATTTGTAGCGCTCATTAGCTGGTTACCTTCAGGACCTCCAACAAAACACACTTGTTTCCAGAAGTGTTTTGTTGCTTGTGTTATGGACCAGACCAAACCCCCTCAAAATATCAGAAGATAGTCTAGACCCTAATTTTTTCTTATTTTAAAGGTAAATGTAAGGGGTTGCATTACAGATGCTGTTTGATTCGTCGAACTATCAGATTTAAAACAAAACATTTTTTTTATCCACTACAATTAAAATAGTTAATTGTCAGCCAAATTTCTTTAAGTTAAATGGAAATTACATTTCTCGTTTTTTTTTTTTAAAGCATATAATTTTCCAAACAATCTTTATGATTGTGGGATCATACATTTCCTCTCATTCTTGACAAATCTACCATTGCCTTACCTTACCTTATGATGTCATCCTAAATCTGAACTATTTTAGCTATTTCTATCACTACTGCTCAAATTCCTGTCTGCCATTTCTATGCCCACTCCAGAGGCAATCATTCTCTGCCACCTGTGGCCATAGGCTGCCGCATCAGTTTAAAATATCTTTCTAAATATGAGCAAGCCAACTTGTGCCGTGTGCAAGCAAACAAAAGAACCTGGAGAATCAAGGCTGAGAAACAATATGATAGTTAACAAAATGATCTGCCCAATAATGCTCATGGAGAGGGACCAAATCATTGCTTTTTCAGTCTTTGCCTTAACGTCTAACATCAATACTTCTGTCCTGTCTGCATCTGTGTGTTGTCGGGGTGTTTATCAACGAGATTAGTGTTGTAACTATTGGGATAACTTAATCTATTGGAAAACTTAACGGAATAATAGATACAGTAACTATTGCTTATTAACTGTTTCATTGCAGTAACATTCCATAAAACCACCCTAGGCAAAAGGCAACTTCAGAAAACGGATTACCTCATACAGGAGTTGCACGGGAGACTGAGAACTGCCAGCTTTTGGCTGTAACAGAGAGAGATAAAATGGCGTTCTCTTCTTCAATCCCCCAACAGCAACTGCTGAAAGCTAAACTAAAGATCCTGGTTCTGTGGGAATTTAACCACACCTGTTTAGGCTGCCTCTATTGTTCCAATCTTTTTAAAAAATAAACAGGGTCTTGCAACTATTTATTCTATTGGTTCTTCTAGACTGCTCATCCTCTCCGTCTTAAAACCTCTCTTCAAAAAAAATCGGAACAAGATAACCTCTCAAAGACATTGAATCATCACACTTGAAAATCTGGCAGATCTTCAAGACCTTTCCCAGGTGTCTGTAACAATCTAGATTTTTCTACCATCCCCCCGCCCCCCGCCGGATTACTGGTGCTCCGAGCAGAATGAGGATTTCTACTGGCATCTTTCTCCATTCACCAAAGTCTGCACCCAGAATTATGCTGAGCTGAATGTGTCCCCATTGAGTCCTTACTCCATAATTGTGGTAAATGCCAAAGGAAATCACTGAGAGTCGTATGCCCATGCTCCTTTCGGAGGGCTGCATTTTCATGTCTTTGGACTTTTACTTACAAGCTGAACCTAACAGTTGAATCTATAAGTTGAATTCTACAGATACTTGAACAGAACAGTAAAAATATATTGGCAGAATGTTTTGTGAGATTAAAGGCCACAAGTATTGAAATATAGTTGTGAAACAGCAAGGATGAGAGCTTGTATACCTTCAACGAATAACACACTCGATTCTGACTAAAGTTCTTTTATCCTTCAAACAGGCATCATGGCTGGTTCAAATAGATCTGGAGACTTGAAGGATGCTCAGAGATCCATCCCTACGGGAACACTGTTAGCAATTATTACAACCTCTTTCATTTGTATCCTTTACACTGGGAAATCCTCACATTAATTTGAATCTGCAATATTTAAAAGTACTGGACATTTCAAAATGTTCTGGGGATCCAGGGCCCTGTTTGCCAAGCCATGGGATAGGTAAAACAGTTCATGAATTTGGAATTCAGTAGATCTGATAATTGGTGGAATGAAGCCTAAACCATCAATGAACATTTGTGTAAAAATCCGACTATCTGAAGCCCTTTGAGGCTTGGAGATCACCAGTGTCACCAACCATCCATGTGAATCATGCCCCATGCTAATGACCTCCGGATCATTTGAGTAAGCAATAAATATTACCATTGTAGCTGACATCCCAGGAATGCCTTTTCTCAAAAAAAATTTCAAAAATGAAAACCCTAATCCAGAGACCCAGGTAATGTTCTGGGGACGCAGGTTCGAATCCCACCACGGCAGATGGTGGAATTTGAATTCAGTAAATATCTGGAATTAAGCATCTAATGATGACGATGAATTAGTTGTCGGTTGTCAGTAAAAACCCATCTGGTTCACTTAGGTCTGTTAGGGAAGGAAACTGGCATCCTTGTGTGGTCTGGCGTACATGTGACTCCAGATGCCAGCAATGTGGTTGATTTTTAACTGCCCTGTGGGCAATTAGAGATGGGTAATAAATGTTGGTCTCACCAGTGATGCCACCCGCATCCCATGAGTGAATAAATAGGATAGTTTCCACAAGTTGAGCTAAAATGTTGAAAATGGAGCCCTGTTGCATTCTCTTCAGTTAGCTCAATGAAAAACAAGGCAATGAAAACAAACTACGACATTAATTTTAATTCTTTGCTCATGCCACAGGGTAATGTGCTCCATCTCTTGATCCTTAGTCAGACCAACTGAATGTTCATCTCGGAGCAAAGTGGCCCCAGTATCCTCCCTCCTGTCACCACATCCTCAAAATAAAATGCAGAGATGATATACAATCCATCATAGAATGGTCATCACTGAAGAGTTGATGACTCATTAAAATTTCAAGCAGAGGATATTGCTGCAAGAGTACTTTTTGGTTACCACAGCTTATTTTCTAACCAGTATATGTAAAATAACTAAATTGGGTAACATTGTTTTTTTTTCTCAAAAATGTTAATTTCCTTGATAATCAACAACAGACTTGTCATCCATTATCTTATTTGGTGCTTGCATTGAAGGTGTGCTCTTAAGGGACAAGTAAGCAATTAACATATTTATGGTATTGTATTGAACAATTGCATGTCTGTTTTTGCTGAACTTTTATGACTATCATTATATGATAACATATTTTAAGCTATCAGAAACATCAGTCCTTGCACACAAATCACGGTATGTCAAAGACCAATTAAAATGTGCTTTTAATGAGAATCAAATGTTCTTCAGCCGTAATCAAGTTCTACTTTTAATAATAAACATTGATAACAATATCTTTTCCTATTTCTTTGCCAACCCACTGTCTTGGGTCCCTTTTTTTTTATAACCTGTTGTATCACTTATTTCCTGGTCTATCTGAACCCAGAGTTAATTTCACTTGTGTTGCTGTCTATATCCTCTGAGCATTATGCTACATAGTAGGCAGTTAGTGTGATTTATCTGGGGCTGAATGGTTTGCCTGTAGAATTGCCCATCCTGTAATGAAGAAGGGACAATACATTCTGTGTGTTTAACAGGTGACTCATGGGGGAGAGTGTTATCTCCTAAGTAAGCATAAAGTGTTCACTTGCTTTCTTCTTGGAATTTATATTTGTTAAAGTATTTCATTGCAATTTTTATGCTAATCTGATCCCTTTTTATATTTCAGTCCAAGGGTTCTTGCAGCTCTATTATTCAATTATAGATAGTCCATTGCAAGTTTGCAAAACATTTGGACCTCCTGTTTAAAAAAGGATAGATATACGGACTAGACATTTGAGAGCAATTAAGGGTCTCGTTTAGTTCAATATTAATTGTCAAATGGTACAATGGGAATTTATTAAGCTGATGACATGATGCATTGTTTTTGAAGCCATAAAGCTGGTTCAGTGCAGAATAGCTCAGACTTTCTTAAATTGGTCTTGTAACTTTCTAACACAAATGATTAGATTAGATCTTTATCTTTCAGCTATGTTGTTGAGTCAACAATTGACATCTACCAGCAACCAAGCTATAAGAATAGGTTGACTTATTATGTCATGAATTCTGTTTCTGCTAAAGAACAACACAATGAAATATCATGAGCTGACCTGGTTCACTGCTGATGTGTTGTTCTAAGCTTAAATGTTAGTTAGTGCAGCTAGCATTTGATGTTCTAAAAATAAACAGTTGTTCTGCAATGAATTTTGTTCTTTGCCTTTTGAAAGATTTTTGGTTCTCTCTTCCCAGGTTTGGCGAGTCTGTAAATGGCAACCTTGTCATTGGGACTCTGGCTTGGCCATCTCCCTGGGTTATTGTGATTGGTTCTTTTTTTTCAACGTGTGGTGCTGGCCTCCAGAGTCTAACTGGGGCTCCTCGGCTAATGCAGGCCATTGCAAGGGACGGGATTGTTCCTTTCCTACGGGTAGGTGCAGACAAGTTACGTTAAATGCAATTGACAAGATGTCAATGAAACTGAAAAATGTCATGACCTTGCAGAATGTGTGTGAAGGGCAAATTAATTTCAATAGGTGCACTGCACTTCCTTGGAAGGAGTAAGGACAGCATGTATACTCCTTGGAAGACTACTCTAAATGGGCTGCTTGACTAGTCTACCATGAGTAGTGCATTAACTTTGCACCAGGTTTTCTGGCACCAGGTTTTCTGGTGTTTGGCAACTCCGTGCAGAATGCCACTCCTGCCTTCCATCTTGTAAAAGAAGGGAGCTCTGCATTTCTGAGAGGAGATTCTGATCACTGCTCGCTCAGGATGCGGAGGTATGCTTCCATTCTGACATTTCTTTCGTTGCCCAGAACTGTCGGAGGAAGGTAAACCACGCCTCGAGCCAATTTGACAGCTGCTGTCAAAGGATAATTCGATAAGGTAATTGTGCTGTTCAAGCTGCTGAGAGGGTAGGGTGCCAGGAGGAGGGGAGGGGGGAAGTGGGGGGGGTGCAGGATGCCAGATTGGTAGAGCCATGTTACTAACCAGGTATGGTGCCAACTGGGGAGGAGGTATGGTCCAGGTATGTAGGATGCCAACTGGGGATTATATACAGGATGCCAATTAAGTAAGGTGATAATTGGGATGGGTGTAGGGTGCAAGGGGACAGCTAAGTGTTTAGGGTAGGTCAGGATGGGTTGGATAAATTGGGTCCACAGGTGTCAGTTTGCTTGGGGGTGGTGTGGCAGAGGGAAGAGAAGAGAAGAGGTGGTGAGTCTTTACCTGGTTCCTCTGCGGGTCTTGTCTCTGGGCCTGGGTTTTTAAGGGGTCTGTGGGACCTGTTTAATAGTTAGTTAGGGTTTAGCCTATGTGTTCAATAGTCTCAACTTCTCCTGACTGTTTGTTTGTTTTTACTCGATTCCACGGGAACTATCTAAAGTCTTCGATAGCTATGGAGACTTTTGGGGAGTTCCAGGCATAATGGAATTGCTCGGTGGAAAATTCAATTTCCCGGACAATTCCTTTGTAGTCTGCTACGATGAGTATTCCGCAGGGTCCTCATGTACAACTCCTATCTGTGGTCACAAAATGACTGGCCGGTGAAAGGCGTGTCTCTCTATACCTGTGCTGCCTGCTGTGGAGTATATTGCCTATATTCTTATATTCTCATATATTCTCATTGTGTTACTGGATGCCCCTAATGGCTCAACTATGGCGGGTATGGGTTTTTTTTGGTCTGATGTGCTGTGCTCCTTCTCGATGCAAACGTAGTTATATCGATAAATACAATTTATACATAAAATTCCCTACTTTTAAAAACAGGTTTTCGGTCATGGAAAGGCAAATGGTGAACCAACATGGGCACTCCTCCTCACAGCTGGTATTTGTGAGATTGGCATTTTGATTGCTTCCCTTGACAGTGTAGCTCCCATTCTTTCCATGTAAGTATTAAATTATTATCCATCCTCTCTCCCCAGTCAATTTTTTAACATGAGGGAGACTCTGCGTGTTTCTTTTGATTTCATGCCCTAACCAGAGTTAGGGTTTAGAACATAAGAACATAAGAACTAGGAGCAGGAGTAGGCCATCTGGCTCCTCGAGCCTGCCCCGCCATTTAATAAGATCATGGCTGATCTTTTTGAGACTCAGCTCCACTTACCCGTCCACTGACCGTAACCCTTAATTCCTTTACTGTTCACAAATTTATCTAGCCTTGCCTTAAAAACATTCAGTGAGTTAGCTTCAACTGCTTCACTGGGCAGGGAATTTCACAGATTCACAACCCTTTGGGTGAAGAGGTTCCTCCTGACCTCAGTCCTACATCTGCTTCCCTTTATTTTGAGGCGATGCCCTCTAGTCCTAGTTTCACCTGCTAGCGGAAACAACGTCCCTGCCTCCACTTTATCTAATTAATAGATGGCCACATATCCTAAGACAGTGGCATTAGTTTTCTGAGATCTCGAGAGAACTGCCTAACGGGGGCATTGAAGGGGACAAAGCAAAAAGCAGTCATGACTGTTATATGTGCATCTTTGTCTTCACTATCTTGCTTCCTGAGTGTCTCAGCAATTGACATATAACAGTTGACATTCCCATAGTGCCTTCAACATAAAAACATCAAAGTGCTTCCTGGTTTGTTGTTGTTAAAATGGTCTGATGAGGAGGGATCAATTTGGAATGATGCAAGCAGGAACAGAAAGCTTAATTGAACGGACAGAAAGCTTTGAGGAAGAGAGGCAGGAGGTGAAGTCGAGACTTTTGAGGGACAGAAAGTAGGATTTCTGCGCATTGAGGTTCAAATGCCAATAGGGAGAGGGATTGGGCAAAAGATGATGCACGTAAGGGCAATGTTAGAGACACGTTTGTTTGGAGAGAGTAGGTATACTGGTAATCTGCTGATTAGACAGGACAAATACAAAGATAAAGAGGCAAATGTTTACACTATGTTTGAAATGCCAATAAGGCTGGTTTGATCAAACATGGGAAATAAAAACTGGCTATACCTGAGTCTACAGCCGTACAAACTCGGCAGTGAACAGCACAGGAATGGTGATACTGTCAAAGCATTATTGTTGATGCAGTCTAAACTTGTCAAGAGTAGGCAATTTCTTTGACAACATTATGTTGCATTATTGACTGGTAACATTTGCAATTAATTAGTAGAGAAATAAAGGATTGCAAATCGTGGACCAAAGAATAATTGATCAAACTAACTGGTAAAACATTGTAATGGGATTTTTTTTTTTAAACTGCTTCATTCTGCATCAAGGATGATGTGATCATCTATCAGGCCAAAATCTGCAGACAAAATAAAACTTCATAGTAGGTGAACTCAAAAATGTGAGCTTAAGGCAGTTCATTGATGAAGCATTCATTTTTTCAGAATTCAGCAACACAAAGTTCTTGTTTGACCTAAAGTGTTGGAAAATGGGGAGGCATCTGTTGTCAGCTATCCAATTCACATGGTTACGTTGGGAGATGGTGGATCCTGCTCCAGTTTTATAATGAGAACAGATTTAAAATGGGGCCTAACTCATTTAGGATAAAAATGCAACAAAAGAGCCGAAAAATCTAGTACTTATCAGAATTATAAGGGCAGTAGCACAGCATTGTTTGTACCATTTTAAACATAATATTATAATCCATATTTGTTTTTCCTCTTCTCCCTTAGGTTCTTCCTGATGTGTTATATGTTTGTGAACTTGGCATGCGCACTGCAAACACTCCTGAAAACACCTAATTGGAGGCCACGATTTACATACTACCACTGGTATGGCAGAAGACCCACAAACAACAAGAACAATCACTGAAGGATCCCTTTAGTTTGTGGAGTGCAGCAAGCTCCAGTTGTCATTCACTGTACTATGTGACTAGTGAATTATTTGAAACCATTCTAGTGAAGAGGCTCTTGAAGCCCCATTAACTAGGGCCACCAGCACTAATTGTGGAAAGCTGGCTTGAACTGCTTCTAATACAGTCCTTCGTGCAGTCAAAGCTCTTTCAGAATTAGGTGTGAAATGTTAGTGATAGAATAGCTAGCCTGGACTAATTGTGCTGATCTCCATTTACCCATTTTTGTTTTAACTGTGGGACGTGGGCATTATTGGCTGGCTAACATCTCTTGCCCATTCCTAGTTGCCTTTGTGAAGGTGGTAGTGAACTGCCTTCACAAACTATTGCAGTTCGCATGCTGTAGGTTGACCTGCAATGCCCTTAGAGAGGGAATTCCAGGATTTTGACCCAGTGACAGTGAATGATACACTTCCAAGTCAGGATGGTAAGCGGCTTGGAGGGGAACTTTCAGGTGGTGGCGTTTCCATGTATTTGCTGCCCTAGTCCTTTGAAATGTCACATTTCTTAATTTGATTTATGTAGAGTCAGCGTGACCTCACGAAGGGGAAATAGTGCCTGACAAGGTTATTTTAATTCTTTGGGGAGGTAACAAGCAAGATAAATAGAGGAGAAACAGTTTATGTGGTATGCAGCGGTTTAGTTTTAAATGAAAACAGAAAATGCTGGAGAGGCTTACCAAGGCTAGCAGCACCTGTGGAGAGAGAAATAATTAATGTTTTGAGTCTGGTGACCCTTCAGAAGCCTTCCTCTTGATTTTAAAAGCTTGCTGTACAGTTTTTGAGCTACATTTTGGTGGGATTGATTTGTGGGATGGACCCTGTTCATTTTTACTGGCGAAACTGGTGATGGAAATACCTCTTCCTTTAGTTACAGCAGCCTGAACTTGTACCATGCCCCTTAGCCATTACTGGATACGATCATGAATATTTGCTGTAAACAGGGAAGGGAGATACAGTGACTTCAAATGTACATGAACTTGGCTCTAAGCCTAGTGTAGGGGATTCTGAAAGCATCTGAAAATGTTTTGATTTCAGTAACTTACTATAAGCATTCCAATTCTAGGACTTTGTCCTTCCTGGGAATGAGCTTATGCCTTGCCTTGATGTTCATCTGTTCCTGGTATTATGCGCTGGTTGCCATGGTAATAGCAGGATGTATCTACAAGTATATTGAATATCGAGGGTAAGGTAGTTGCTATCTATCTTTTAATATGAATGAGCTCTTTATGTGGTTTAATGTCTATTACATTGTTTCTGCCTGTATTTTGTTTTTGAAAAATCATTTTATTAACTTTTTTTTTATCAGGGCTGAGAAAGAATGGGGTGATGGCATCAGGGGGCTGTCGCTAAATGCTGCTCGATATGCTTTGCTGCGATTGGAGGACGGTCCACCTCACACCAAGAACTGGAGGTAAAATCACATCTAGGCTCTGTCGATGGTAATTGAAATTTCTTAAGGCTGTTCAGAGTTACTTCCCTAGAAAGGAGCTTTCAGTCTCCGGGACAGCATCTTGATCCATTTTTTTGTTTTTTTTTGATGTGTTGGTTTCATTTTCTCAGTGACTTGAACCTTGTGCTTATCATGTTGAGGGACGTTGCAGCTGAACATCAAAGTCTTTTTCACTTGGTATTGACATTAAAGACACTGTCATGTGCTTCATGTGTAGCAGTGCTCCCAGAATTCTGCTGGAAGGTTACGCCAACCAAATTCAACCAGAACGACCCAATTGCTTCCTCCTCATGCCATAACATTTGGAGTGGGGAAACAAAATTTGGCCCTATTTACAGTAAACTAGAAAGATTTTGAGTTGAATGACACCATCCTTTTTAACCCAGCGTGCAAAAAAGAAAATTAGGCAAAGTCAGTGCATTAGCTTAACCAAAAGGGTTCCACTCTTTCCAAATAATTACATGCTTAAAATCCAGATTTTTATTTGAAACTGACCACTGAACTGATCAATGAGACGAGCTGCCATAAGGCAGGGCGTTCAAATGTAGAAGCATGATTGGCTGCAGTGCGTTTGATTTTGGAGATAACTTTTTGTAGTGCTTTTGATTTAGTCATTTACAATTCTGTCAAAACGATCGTGACAAAAAGTGCATGTTAAACAGATAAAAATTATGGGGTGGTTTTATGTCTTTTACGAAGAACAAGCCTTTGTGAGGTGCTGTTCCTCTTGTTTTTGCATTGCGAATTGGCCACTGGAGGGGTTGTTTGCCTCATTGATGTAAAATACCACTGCACAGAGTGGAGATACAAGCCAAGCAGTCTCATCAAACTGGTTGCAGACAGCATGTTGCCATTCAGTTGTTACTACAGGTGGGTTAAAGGCCACAAAGGGAATGAAATCGGTGGTCTATGGCATACCCCAGAGAAAAGTTAACTTTTTTTTTTGTGAGGGACAACTTAAAAAAGTTGCTTGCCAGTACAGAACATGAGTACTCTTGATGAAAGAGACATGTTATCAAACCAGCAGCTTCCATGTCCTTACCCCAAACCCCTCAGACCAGACCTTGTCATTTACATGGGTTGCTATCTCAAACAATCCAATGTCAGCAAATAATGGTCCCCATCAGCAGCTATCGATTCTCACAGGCTGACCTTTACCCATTTCTTTCTGTCAAATGTTTTTCTCTCTTTCTGGCCTCTACACCTACTGTTTAGTCCTTTCCACTCCTCCCACCTACCTTTAGCATATATACCAACCTTTTCCTAGATACAATCCGGTCCTAGAAATGTACAGAAACAGACCTTCAATCCAACTTGTCCATGTCAACCAGATATCCTAAATTAATCTGGTCCCATTTGCCAGTATTTGGCCCAAATCCCTCTTAATCCTCCCTTTTCAAATACCATCCAAATGCCTTTTAAATGTTGTAATCGTACCAGCTTCCACCACTTCCTCTGGCAGCTCATTCCATACACGCACCACCCTCTGTGTGAAAAAATTGCCCCTTAGGTCCCTTTTCAATCTTTCCCCTCTCACTTTAAACCTATGCTGTCTAGTTTTGGGAAAAAGACCTTGGCTATTCACCCATCCATGACTCTCGTGATTTTGTAAACTTCTATTAAGTCATCCATCAGTCTCTGACATTTCTGAGGAAGGGTCACTGGACCTAAAGCATTAATTCTGCTTTCTCTCCACAGATGCTGCCAGATCTGCTAAATTTTTCCAACAATTTCTGCTTTAGTTTCTGATTTCCAGCATCTGCAGTTCTTTGGCACCATGCAAAAGAAAAACCAAAGCTTTTTGGTTTGAACTCATTAAGTCTGATGCAAGAATACAGAATTTCAAAGGGAGTAACAATTTATACTGCATGAGAAAAGGGTGGTGCTAATTGTTTCCAGTTGTGGCATTGCTGTGGAGAATGCTTCAGAGTGTAATTGACCCTTTTACTTTTCTAAATTAAATCAAAAGTGCCAATGGCTGGACAGCATCTTTTTGCCTGCAGAGGATAGGTCTCTGCAGATGAACATACGTAACCCCTCGCAAGTTGTGACATTTGCATTGACTTATTGAGTGCAAGACAAGAAGCTTTGGCACGACCTTAGAAAAAATATTTTGCAGATCACAAAATGACTCGGCATTTTGACCAAACACCTGCTTTTATTTTTTCCCATCTCACGCGCTCTCTGCCTTCCAATTCAGGCCTCAACTGTTGATATTGCTGAACCTGGATCCAGAACAGAATGTGAAGCACCCTCGGCTCCTATCACTCACCACACAGCTTAAGGCTGGCAAGGGATTGACCATTGTTGGCTCAGTGTTGGAAGGCACCTTTCTGGAGAGGCACACTGATGTACAAAATGCTGAGCAGGTATTACTCTGACCATTGATGTCCAGCAAGTATTGTGTTTGAGTTGATGTGATTGGAAATAACTTTAGTTACAGCACAACTTAGTCAATAAAAGATAAGAAATTACAGATGGACGTGCACTTGAAGCGGATTCAACTGTAACTGTTCAAAAGAAACTTGAATGTTTAGGTCGAGAGGAAAACGTTGCAGGATGATTAGGGAAAGAACGGGGAACTGAGATTCTTTTGCTGCGTGCATTGAAAGAATTAGCGCAGGCACAATGGGCCGAATAGTTTGGTTCTATGTTTTGTCATTAAATGATTCCTTTGTAACACTGAGATCGTTTGCCAGGAGTAAAATTGCATATTTTGAGGCTGTTCCCATTATTGCTTTATCAGGGCAGCAAAGTGGTTAGCACTGCCGCCTCACAGCGTCACGGACCCAGGTTCAATTCTACCCTCAGGTGAATGTGCAAGCTCTGGGTTTCCTTTTGGGTGCTTTGACTTCCTCCCTCAGTCCAAAGACGTGCAGGTTACATGGATTGGCCGTGCTAATTCGGGGATGTGTAGATTAGGTGGATTAACCATGGGATGTGCAGAGACAGGTTAGAGGGGGTGGGTATGAGTGGGGTCTTCTTTGGAGGGTTAATGTGGACTTAGAATTCCCATTTGGCCTATGATTCTGGTTCCAAACACCTAGTGTTTTCACAATGATGGGTGCATCATTTAACTAGACTGGAAGATTGACTCAACTGTTTAATGAATCTGTGACTGAGAGCATTTCCCATTGACTATTCATCGCCATTCAGTGGGCTGTAAAATAAACTGTCCAAGTTGACCCAAATTGGGCTGCCGTGTGATTAGAGTTACAAACTTAGTCTTTCTGCCTGATAGTGCATCTTAGATTTGTAAAATTGATTTGCATTCACCAAACTAACAATTTAATATAACGTGGAAAGGACAGTGCTGGGAACGGAGTTGTTTGAGTATCACAGAGCTTGATCAATATGGAGTTCAAGTGATGATGAGCCTGGAATATTTAAGCCCACAAACTAAATACTTCCCCCTCCCACCCACCCACAACAAAACAAGTGGGAGTTGAAAGAGGCCTTTTCAGTATCTTCTTGGGCATGCAGTGTCTTTATTGAACTAATTCCCCCCCTGCCATCTGACATTAGACTAGCAATTGACCTTTGGATACTAATGTACTGCTCAATTACCTGATGCTTTCAAAGTGTTCTTTTACCGGATGGCTTAACATGACATGGTGAGGGATATTTATTAGATGATAAAGAATACTCCTATTCCCAAAGAATGAATTGTTGTAGGAGTCTGTTAGAGTGAATCATAAGAGATTTGAGCTTCATGCTTTCTGTGCCTGATGTGATTATCTGGTATGTGGGGCAAGTGTCAAATGATGCTTCTCTTCACAGCACTGTTTGCTATGGGGAAGTGTTGGTTGTGCTGAATTAGGGGCTGGCTTTAAGGTTTTACGTCGCATGTGAAATTAAATGGTGGGACACTGAAGGTTTTGAAAAACTATGGCTGCTTCAGTTTATGAAGAGAAAGTGTGAGAACTTATTGGTTTCTTCTTCTTCCTCTTAGTGGAGGTAAGGGAGCTGCTTTCAGGCTTCAGTCATGCAGCCCCTCAATTGGCCTGTGACCAGTGGTCAAGTGACTGTGTCTATTTGTTTTCTCCTTTCCCAGGCAGTGGGGCTTTGGTAGACCTGAAATTCTGAACGCCTGAGTGGAGGAACTGAGCTGGTGTCCCTCAGTTTAGTGGTGGTTAGAATCTGTCACCAACGTGCTCCTGTTAATATCATCTGGGTGTTCAACATCATAAAAGGTGCAGCATTCTCAGCTAGCACGGCTCACAGCCAAATGGAGTCTGTAAGCATTTGGCCCTCCTGATAAGGGGAGGCAATGGCCTAGTGGTATTAGTGCTGGACTGTTAATCCAGAGACCCAGATATTGTTCTGGGGACCTGGGTTCAAATCCTGGTGGAATTTGAATTCAATAAATATCTGTAATTAACAGCCTAACGATGGCCATGAATCCATTGTCAATTTGTCAGGAAAAACCCATCTGGTTCACTAGTGTCCTTTAGGGAGGAAACTGCCATCCTACGCTCGGTTCGCAACAAACAACTGCACCTCCCAGTCGCGAACCATTTCAACTCCCCCTCCCA